ATTTGGCTCATTCTGGCTCAGTTTGGCTCAATCTGGCTCAACCTGGTCCAATCTGGCTAGGTCTGGTTCAGTCTGGTCTGGTCTGGTTCAGCCAGATCTGGTTCAAGGCTATAAAAGAGGTTCCTTTTTTTTTTTCTTTTTCTTTTTCTTCCTCTCTTTCTAGGGCCGGCCACCCCCTCCCTCTCTTCTCTTGATTTCTCTTCCCTCGAGCATCCATTCTCTTTCAAACCTTGATATTTGTCTTAGATCTGGCTTTCCTTTGAATCTTGGACTGAGGAATCTCCCAAAATCTCCAAATAAAAAGTTTCTCTCAGGCCCCTCGAGCGTGTGGTTCAAGTTTCCTTAAAGGTCTCGCCTTTATTGGATTTTGGGCTTTTCTTCAGGTAAATCCTCCGCAATCTTGATCTATTTCATGTTTGATCTAGTGTATGGAGTCGCGGGATCGCATATAAGGGTTGAGGGTGTGATTTGATGCCTCAAACTTGCCTTTTTTGGGGGTAAAAATGGGATTTTTCCTTTTCTAGATCTGATCCTTCAATTTACCTTGCAGGTTTCTATGTCCCGTATGGCGAGGGGTCAATCCTCTACCGCGCCGAATGATGGCGCGCCTCCCTCTTACGCTGGTGAGCTACTTTTTCTGGAAATTTACAAATTGGTCCATTTTTTCTTGGAAATTTGCAAATTGGTCCTTTTAACCCCACGTTGTTCTCCTTGGTGAGGCAATCGGGAAGAGCCTTGATTCTCCTTGGTGAGGATCGACGCTTTGAAGATAGAAATTTTACAAATTAACCCTCTTTTTTCTGAAAATTTGCAAATTGGTCCTTTTAACCCCACGTTGTTCTCCTTGGTGAGGCAATCGGGAAGAGCCTTGATTCTCCTTGGTGAGGATCGACGCTTCAAAGATATGTTTTGCTTGGTCAAAACACTATCTCATAATAAATAAAGGGGGCGTTTTGTCGCTGCGTTGTGCCTTATAAGGCAGGGATATATTGTCGATATACCCTATCTTATGAAGGCGCAACGTGGCCAAAACGTCACACCCTTTATAAGGCAATGACTCTATCTTACCCCTTCGTAAGATGAGTTCAATTTCCTTTTATAACTGGAATTAACAAACGTTTAATTGCTTGTTCTCAGTTGAATACCCTTCTGGAGCGTTCTCATCTCACGCAGTATACGGGCGTCGTGGCGAGTATTATTCGACCTCCGACGATGTTTCCCCTATCCCGGTCACTCCTCAGTTCGTCTTGGGCACATCGACTGAGGTCGCTCAGGCGGTGAAGGAAGGTGGGCACCGAGCTCTTCGACAGTTGATTACCGATGCACCTCTTGTGAAGGACGCCAGTTCTATTCAGCCTCTTCGGAAGAGTGATTTCTTATTTGGCGACTCTGTCGAAGACCCGGATGCCGTGTTTATTGAGGCTGAGCAGTGGCTTCATAAAACTGGCAGTGGCTTCATATACTTGCCGAAGATTCCTCGGCATCGTTCATTGACTGAGCTCAGGCGTCAGGCCGTGACACGGGAGATGTCGTGGCGCTTGACGGAGGAGCATGAGAGCGTCCATTGCGGCTACATCACTCATCAGGCGTTTCCTGGCTCGAGCAGAAGTCACATCACCGGATTGCGTCCCGGAGTACTGGGGCTGGATGCACCACCACGTAACGAGTTCCTCGCCACCGCTTCTACCTTGAGGAATCGCCTCGCTGCTCTAGGACGGGAGATGCCTGCGACGCGTCACAGGATTTATGGTTGGGTCCATTCTTTGGACAAGTTTTGGTGGACCCGTATGACGACGTATGTCTTGAGCCGATGGGGCGAGGAGTTGCACGCTTGTGGTTTATATGCAGCCGTTCGTGCCACCATGTATGGCTTGCCTGTCAGCGCAAGGCATTTCTGTGCTTTGTTCGAGCTTTATAATTCAGATTCGAACACTTTTCTGACCCGGCAAGGGGAATTGGGCTTGGCTCTTCACGAGATGCACAGGATTTCTGGCTTACCCATGGGACAGATGTTGTATCAGGAATACTTTCCCTCCAACCATGAATTAAGTCTGCTGAAGGATCGTATGCCCGATCGCTACGAGACTCTATGGGATCTCACTTGTCACTATCATATAGCTTTGGCGCAGTCTGAGCCTTTAGCAAAGAGGACTAAGACATTCGTGAGTCTGAAGCAGTTTGCCAATTATTTGTTCAAGAATCTGGAGAGTAATTCTGGCGAGGCTATTTGTGAGTTGGCCCCACTTACTCCCTCAGGGGTGAACATTCTGATGAAGAAGATTGACGCTCATTCTTATACCACTAGCAGTTCTGAGGGTGGTTTTCCTGCAGGGACCAAGTTCAAATCATTCTTGTGGCATGCTACCGCACCGATTCGACCCATGACCCTTCTTGCCGGTTTCCTCGCTATTTGGTTAAAGAAATGCGTGGTCTCATATCAGTCTTGTGACGCTCTGCCCTTGGAAGTACTCTATCCAGCAGTTCAGCTTGCCTACAAGAAAGAACTCTCACTTCTTCCGGTGATGGTGGCTAACATTCACCGAGGACTTCGACAGCTTTCTGGTGCCTTTACACGGAAGGAAAAGGAATCGCCGACTCAGATTCCCACCCTTAAGACAGAGCTCCCGTACACTTACTTGATGGCTTGGTTCGTCCTTCACCGTTCCGATATGATGTCGGTACCGAGCGCCACAGATCATTCCGTTCCTTTACTACAATTGCTTGAGAACGGCAAGTGGGAGGGGCGCGGATTTTCTGACATCAGACAGCAGCTGCAGGTCCACAAGTGTTGGACATTTTCCACTTGCTTTCCGCAGTTCTCCGGCCGATACGGTGATTGTTTGATAGATGAGGAGAGGCCGAGAGAGTATCGAACTCACTTGGACATCGGGTGCTTTAACTGGCTGGTAAACATTAGGCCAGGTTATTTGACTTTTCGGGTGAGGGATCAGTGCTTCATAGAGCCATATCTACCCTGTCGATTCGCTCGTCAGTTTGGCTACGATCAGCTTTACGTCGGGAATCCTCGTCAGCAGCTTCGGGCCCACGGCGGTTTGGTAGATGGTCTCCGTGCGTGGTTGTGGACCGTGACTGGCTGTACTGGTGCTAAATTCAGTCTCCCGAGTGCTGATCGGCAGTTGAACCTCACTTTCTTAAGCTGCAAGTGGTTGTTAGCAGCCAACAAGACTATCCCCGTGAAGCCGATTGCAGAGTTAGAGGCCGAGGAAGCTTCTCAGGTTGATTCCCGTAGGATTTGGGAAACGCTCGATCACAGAGGACACGGAACAAGACTCGTCGGATTGATGAAGAGGGAAAGAAGACCTTTCATTCCGCAGACGAGGCTTCAGGGGGAGATCCTGAAGGTTATGAAGACTTTTCCGAGCGAGGTTTGCTATTCATCTTTTCCTTCCATCTTCCAGAAATATTGAAACTGACTATGGTTTGATGTTTCAGGGACCACAGTTGACCAGGATGAAGAGTTCCATCCCCCTTCCCAGGCGAGACCTTCGATTATTGTCCCTGCTGCTAGGCGGAAGAGATTAGCCCGCAAGCCGCGTGCAGCTTCCCGAGCATTTGATATGGACTTGGCTGGTGATGATCCTGCTAGTGACGGGGGTAACATCTACTCTGTAAACCACCTTCTTGGTTATTCGGAACATTGACTCATGCTTTTCCATCTCTATATAGGAGAGCGTGGAGAGAGCGAAATGAGTCCCGATTCCGTTCCTGTGTCTCCTGGTGAGCCTGACCCGCTGCCCCAGTTAAAAAGGCCTACAGGGGTTGCCGACATTAGGGAGGATAGCAATGTAGGACCTGATTCCGCAGATCCAGGTACATCTACTATTGACAATGTATCTTTTAGATGGTATACAAAAGAATTTGTGCATCCTCTAATCATCTCTGTACATCTTGCTTCTTCAGATAACTTGCAGGAGGCATACGTGGATTTTGGGAATAAAGAGGCTAACGCATCCATAAGGGGTAACTCATTTTTGTTGGTTGTAGTCTCTTTATTCTTCTTTGGTACTTATATTCTTTTACGTCAGATTTCTCTATTGATGATTTTGACGAGGAAGGCTTGATCGCGGAGACTCCTACACTCCACTTCATGTATAGCTCTCCTCAATTTGATGGCCAGTTACCCGGAGATATATTTTCCGAGCCTACGTTCGATAAGAATCTTGAGGATGATTCTTTCGAAGGTATATGTCTCCTCCCAAATTAATTATAGGACTAGCCAATTTTGACTAATGCAGCTATAATGTGATGCCTCTGAGAATTCTGACTTGTATTTAACAGGAATTTTTGTCGAGACCAATCCTGTTGAGCCGGCTGTGGGACCATTGATACACCCCCAGCCGTTAGACCTCCACCACCCCCAGTGACTCAAGAGGGTATGAATACTATTTATTTACTCTTCAAGGTCTTTTTTTCTGACGGTTTTATCTCTTTTTTTTTATCGTGCAGGGCCTTCTTCTCGTCTTCATATTCTGGCGAGGGAGTTGTTATCTGATGATGACCCAGAGAAGATTGTCATTTGCATAGAAGTCCGCTCCTTCTTCTCTTTCATGAATGCTATGATTGTCAAGCTTTTACATGGTGGACTTTCTCTTCGCCAATTCAAGCCTTTCCTTGATTCTAAAGTCAATTTGATAAGGGAAGCGGGACATCCAGATTTGGCACAGGCTATAGTTGATGACCTTGATTGCCTAGAGCATGAGCTTCAGATGTTTCGTGAGCTCCGAGATGCAGGTGCCTCCTCATTTATTGCTGCCGAGCTGGACACCCGCTTACAGTCATCACGCGAGACTCGGATTTTTGCTGAGCTCGAGATTCAGATGCAGCGGGGCCGAGTAGATCGAGTTAAGACGAGCCTTGCTACTAGATTATCTTCGCTTGCCGAGCTCGATCTTTCTATTACCTCCTGTGCGACCGAGATAGACCAGCTCAGAGAATACTCCATGAAAAAGAGGAGACTTTGGATATTCTTCAGATGATGAAAGCACAGGATCAGCAAACCCACACTGCTTTATCTGATGAGTTGAGATCCCTGGAGCAGAAGCTAGCCGAGACAGAAGAGATCGCTGCGAGGACTTCAGCTACCACCGAGGAGTCCATCAGGGCTGAACTTCGGCAAGCTTATGATGAGAAGCTTTCTAAGATCAGTCAGCAGATTTTTGGTCATGGTCTTGATGTATGATTTTGTTTGCTGAACATTTTGACTTTTGATTCTCTTAGTGAAACTTGCTTTCGTCTTTATTATGATTCGTCATTCCATTTGAAATGATTGACCACAATACTCATAGGATTTTTGGCAAACCCTCAGCCATCAACGGGTTTGATGAGCCTTTACCGACTACCGTTTGAGTCGGGCTAGCATGCGGATTATCGGAATCCGTTCCGCATGTAACGTTGTGCTAAGGGAATGAACTCCCTTAGACTTCGTGCTATGATGTCGAATACATAGACTTCGCCATTGTTACGGGAATAGGCTACCCGGCGACACGTGTTAGGTGTTGACTTTAGGATTTTTGGCTAACCCCCAGCCTTCAACGGGTTTGATTAGCCTTTACCGACTACCGTTTGAGTCGGGCTAGCATGCGGATTGTTTAAATCCGTTCGCATGTAACGTTATGCTCGGAGATTGAATTCTCCGAGACTTTGTGCTATGATGTCGAATACATAGACTTCGCCATTGTTACGGGAATAGGCTACCCGGCGACACGTATTAGGTGTTGACTTCAGGATTTTTGGCTAACCCCCAGCCTTCAACGGATTTGATTAGCCTTTACCGACTACCGTTTGAGTCGGGCTAGCATGCGAATTGTCTAAATCCGTTTCGCATGTGACGTTGTGCTAAGGGAATGAACTCCCTTAGACTTTTGTTCTACAACTTCGAATATGTAGACTTCGTTATGGGAATAGGCTACGCAGCAACGTGTTTTAGACGCTGACTTATCCCTACTTAGGCTTCGGGATGAAATACCCCAGAATTGAACTCTGGTATCTTTTTCTTCGGAAAAAAGACTAAACTGGCGACACGTGTTAGGCGTCGACATATCCTTTCTTAGGATTCAGGATGAAATTCCCCATACGTGTAAGGCATGGATTTTGGTGTTATTAATAACAACCTGCCACAATGTTGAATATATGAACGGGTGTTCTTTTTAACGGTTAAGAACTAACCGGCAGCGCGTGTTAGGCGCAGACTTAAACTTGCATAGGTTTCAGGATAACATACCCCAGAATCAAAGTCTGGTGTCTTTTTCCTCGGAGAAAGACTA